TTATAAATGGAATATACAAACATAATAATCAAGTCACTTGGTAACTATGCGACAAAATTATAATTATTAATAATTTGGAAAAACCAGTTCTAATTTTTATAATCTTCATTTTAAATTGAATTAGATCAAATGACATTAAAAATCGTTAGATCAATTGACATTCAACTGTTACCTTATAGATTCAATCGGAATTCTCATTTAGTCTGACTTAGAACACAAAGTGTTATCCGTAGCTCTGATGCGAAAAGTACACGAGTTTGTGCTTAGTATTATTTTGTTTATTTAATTTAAAAAAAACTGACTGGCTCCTAAATTTTACTACAATGTAGTTTAAAACAATTAGTCCCTTTGATAAATTTCGATAATGCAATGAGAAAACGAAGTTTATCAGAATTATGTGATATATTTGCGCAATACATGTCGAACAATCTGATCACACACATATACTTGTTAAGAACATTTATATATGAAAATTAAAAGGTCAACTAGACTTACCCTTAGGTAAGTCATAACAACAAAGGAAAAAATAATAAAGTACACAAAAACAAATGTGATTACCACTCTGGATAATAAATCAGTATTACCAGGGGTAGGTTAAGTGTAAGCACAAATTGTTTTTGAACACATAAAGGGGGTTTCAATTTCCGTATAGCCAAGGCTTCAATAAACCTTAGTATACGTCCTTGAAAGCTTTTGTATAACACTACAAATGCTGATTTGATGTCAACCTTATGACCCGTCTCAATCAAATGTTTCGCAATGTAGTTGTTTTTAAATACAATGTCATTATGATGGAGTGAAGTGTTCGAACACTTCACTTCTACCTGAAGTTTATGCTGATGATGTCGTTCAGAAGAACGATGAAAGCTTCACAACCAGACCATCCAGCTTAGAGAACAAAACTCCATCAAAATCATCCACCTGAGCTGCAAATCTTCACCACACAATGTCATTATCTGTACTATGTACACTGACTAAAATAGTAATTTATAGAAATATTTAAGCAGAATAATCTTCTACTCGGTAAAAATACATACTTGAATAGTGGTCGAAATGATTTTTTTCCGGTTGGCATTTTTTTTAGCAAGATTATTTCCCAGGGGATCGGTTTACTATATTCATTCCCAACCCTTCGTTATCTAGGCTTATTAGCGACAGCAACTTTAGAATGATTTCAAACGAAATGTGAATGGACAACGAATAAATGAAGCATAAAAATTGTTGAATTCATATTATTTTGTATAGAATAAATTAAATCTTTAAGAATTTTCACTCTCTCTGCTTTACAACCTTCTCAAAGAAGCTGATCTAATTAAATATTACGCAAAAAATAAATAACTATTCAACATATACTATTAGCCTCACATAAATGATACCATGAAGTATCATAGTGGGAAATAAGATGATTAACTCATCGTAAGATTATATCTTTTTGAAAAGTTAAACGTTGAAATAAAGATGATATCTATAATAATAAGTAGAAATTCTAACATGGTGAAAATATAGAAAATAATAAATGGTAAATTATACTTTCAAGAATTCTAAACAATTGAAATATTTCAAAACAAATTTCAAGATTTCTTTCAACAATCTGATATAAACTGCTTCAATAAAGTATATAGACGTTACAAAACAACTATTTATACTAATATCAGAAGGTTTTTTTGTGTGGATATTATAGTAATTTCAACAGTTGAGATCATGAGTCAATCGAAGCTAGACCATCATGGAAAATCTGGAAACATTGGACATCCTATTGTGGGACTCCTCAGCAGTGTGAGTCCACGACCCCGCCTCTCGTGCACGAGCGCTTAATCACTAAACCACTGAGCTGGCCGGCATTCAACGACGTTGATATCTAACTTCAACTAATCCACGAAATCGAGTGACACATCCACAAATATTCAATCTTTTTAAAACTTCTTAAAACGAAATTTCAAATTTATTTCTTTTTTTTAAATTTTGGTAGATTTTTCACAGATTTTAATTTCCTTAAATAAAAGTTATATATATATATATATATATATATATATATATATATATATATATATATATATTTTTTTAATATCCCAATGAGTAGAAAAACTAGATTTTCTAACGTTTCGTGACTCAGTGTAAGCCACTTCTTCAGAGAATCAATAAATAACCAAATCAAAACTAATCCAAGTTGTCTTGTCAACGTTTTTTATACATTCGACTTTTAACTATGATATGAAACATTGAACTAAAGATCGTATAAAATAAAAAAAATTTAAAAATAAATCTAATTCGGCGATTTAAACAAACAATGTTGTCAAGGCTTAAAAAGCATATAATGTGAATATAAAATCTTAACTTTAGGGGATCATTTTAAATGTATAATTTCATAAATTACAATTAGGAAATCTATATCTTCGTGTACAAATGTTTATCCAATCATCAATGGTTTCTTAGATTAGTGCCATAAATTGATTTTTTGTATTAATTACCCCCCTTTTAACCAGTATAACAGATATTTCAGAATAAAAATACTCTTATTATTATTGTTTTTCATGTAGCTATTCATATGTTTTCACTGTTTTTAACATCTATGTTACTGCTCCTCGTACTATTACTTGTAGTAGTAGTAGTAGTGTGTGTGGTGGTGGCATCGCTACTATAATTCAGTTTAAGACACATTTATAGAACAACTCTTGACATATATATATGTAATAGTCAATTTGTAATCTCGATAAGAAACGTGTGAATAAAGTGTTTTACATATATACTACGGAATTACAAACGTATAGAAATGTAAAACACAGTAGTTAAAGTAGCAGTATTAATAGTAATACACTTTTTGTATCAAATAAAACACCATTTACAGTGTGAGATATTTTTATAAACTCTTATGAATTGACTTTTATCTGTGAGATATTCAATGATAAATGGTTTATACTTAGTGTCGTTGAACATGGTTAAATATAAATAATAGACTGGATGTTTGTGTGTATGTATGTGTGTGTGTGTGTGGCGTTTTAACTTTGACATCCATTGTTGGAATAATAAAACAAATCAGTAGATTTATCCTTTTTGATTAGACTCTTCAACAGAATCCTATTCACTAATTAGACATCCTGAGTGATATGTTACGAAACCAGTCACAGTAATATGACTTTATTCATTGTGTTTTTCTTTCTTTCTTTAAACTTCAAAATTGAATATTAGTTTGAAGTGTTGATTTATTTTCCCTTTTCCAAGTTTCTATGTATAATCTTTTTTTTCTAATTGAAGAGAGGGTTTGAATATGAACAAAATACTTTCAAGTCGTTTTAAAGTTATGAGGTTAGTTGTTACTTCTCATTTAGCCATATTATGGAAAACTGCTATTCTGAAGCATGCCAACTTGAGTTGATATATATTTACCTCTGTTTCTCCTATAATTCCATCAGTGAGTTGTTGAGGATGCTATATCTCCAGAAATCACCTGGTAAACTTCCCAATTCCGTAATTTAATTGTGGAATTTTGAATTTCTCATTTTCGCATCGAAAGCACCCCTTTTTACCTTCAGTTCGTGTTTCCCACCTGGAATGACATTTTTGTATTGCATATATACGTATAAGTTGTGTGTTTGTTCTTCCAGATTGCTTGTGGGACTATATGTTTTTTTCGGCTGAATCTGGTTCTTCCTTTAGTTAACAGAGGAAGAACTTAGCTTGTCTTGTTGTTGTGTTCCTGACTTTCGTTCCGTTCGCCAGTCCTAGGTGATATCTGAATCCTTCAAATATATATATATATATATATATAATATATATATATATATATTCGCTTATTCGCATTTTTGTCAATTGAAATTAAATATCTTTGTTTCAATTCCATTAGAATTCATGGTTGCCTACTACTGACTACATTTAAAGTTGAAGGAACAACTCATCTCTACTGTCTTGTTCCCTCTACCCAATGGATGTTTAGTTGGGTTTTTTTACCACATAATGTTCAAAGATATTTACAGTTTTATTGTGATGAATTGTGTCATTTGACCTTTTAACGATGTCAGTTATCAGTCTGCACTTTGATATAACTCTTCGATTTGACAATCGATTTGTACTAACAAATTATTAATAATTCATTCCTCGTTATTTATTTATTTTATAAACAATCTAGGGGCCGCAAGTAAAATTACATGGTTGATGAGCATAATAATGTATAATTAACACTTATGTGATAACTTATATATCATTGATTGTGTTGGTTAAGATATGTAATACATGCATCCCTACGTACCTCTTACTTCGATGCACCATGTCTATTAGTGTTGAAGTAGGTCATGAGAAATCTAAGGTGTGGCATTAGTTCATGTAGACATTAACTATTAGTCAAAAATATGTTGGCAGATCCTAACTAATTGGTTAGGGTCCGCTCAATTATCTCAATAGTTGAAAATTTTGGATGATATGATTTAGAATCGGTCACAATAGCGCAGATCCATTCTTTTCTTATCACTCCTTAAATCTTGAGTTTTAAATTTATATTGTGCTGTGTTATTCGGAGAATTCGTTCTTTCCTAACAAACCATATTGTGTGCGTGTGTGTGATGTTTCCTGCTATCCCTAATTCTATCTCTAGTTCTGCTGTTCTGGGATTTATCTTAATGATTTTATGTCTTTGTACTGATGTTGTGTTCCGAATTGAATCGATACATGTATGCGCTAGCTTGTAGATCGCTTATAACTCATTGTTTGAATTCAATTACAGATTAAATTTATCTAAAGAAACGCTAAGAACTTGATAATTTGGAAGTCTAATACTTCACATTTCTAATTATCAAATAGATTCATGACAAAAGGTTCCTTGTGAAATAGTAGAACAAAAGTTTATTGTTGTTGTTGTCACTATCGAACGAGAATATCGTTGAACAATTAAAATAACGCAGCTTATTGATTTTATTATTAATATTTATTCACTATTTATCATTTAATCAATTTTTATTATTCATTATTATTTCTTTTTTTTTTATCTTTCCCTTTATTTTTTTTTCTAGTTATTCGCATTACTATTTGCTATACTTTTATGTTGTTCAGTAAAACAACGAAATGAGGTCGAATATACTGAAGTACAGGTGAATGTTTAAAAGTGATAGAGAGAAGAAGAAAAAAAGAGAAACACTAAATAATTCTTGTACGAGAGGGATGATTAAACAAACTAACAAACAAAAATCAGACCAATATTCATTCATCCATCTATCTATCTGTTAGCCTCTTTTTTTCTTCTTATGATTATCATCATCATCATTATCATATCTTATTAGCATTTTTCATTGTTGTATTCCCTTCTCTTCCTTTCTTTGAAGTATATTTCAATAGAATTACTGTGATTTATAGTTCATGTCAAATGAAATGAATCTTCAAACAATACAGCTGAACAAATTATTTGACTGAAACTCCATTTGGTTTCTGTTGTTTAACTAATGAACATGGTATTGATGATGATGATGATTATAATAGTAACAATAATATATAGTGAATTAAATTTTGATCTACATCAGTAGTGAATGTTTCCTCAAATTAATTTTAAAAATTTCTGTCTTCCTCTTCTTTGTATTCTTAGTTGTGTTTTTATTTTGGATTCATTCTCTTCAATGAACATCAAGATCATCTGTATATGTATTCATACACTTACACACACACACACACACACACTTCCATTCTATGGATAACATATTTCATGTTGTTGAAAAAAATACCCATAAATTAGTCTTAGTGTTGATACATTCCGATTAACACTAACGTCATATTTGTTCATTATTTTAGTGTTTCGTTAATATGTTCTATACTTTTTCTTCGTTTGGATACTCCTTTTTTCTTTTTTTCTTTTATTTTCTTTCCTCTAGTAAAAATCATTTGGAATTCTTTATTTCCTAAGAAATTAACTTTGTAAATTATTTGAACATAGTACCATCTTTATTTTTTTTTCTTTTTTTCAATGAGTGTCCTACCAAAATGGGAATGATTGTAAATGATGAACAATGTGAAAACATACAATTGTAAGCGCCACCACTATTAATTGTATTTGTAGTGGTAGTAGTAGTAGTAGTACAAACAATATTGCGATATTTTATTAATTTATTCTGCAAATTCAACATTGAAATACAATTCAATGCATAATAATGATGAGTGATTATCATTACTATGATGATTGTTATTTGTTTTATTCTTCCTTTGTGTTATGATATTTTGATTTACTTTTCTGTATTTATGTATAGTATCAGTTATTTCTAATAAACAAAGTTGTTTTTAAAAAAAAATCATTGTTTCCATGATTCTTTTCTTCTTTTCACATATTCATCTTTCTTTATGTATCATTAATAAACTGGGTATTATGGACGCGCATGTATGTATGTATGTAAGCAGGTAGGATATGTGTATAAGATGCAATGAAAGTGAACATTTTCCCTTTTCTATTCTTTATTCCTTTAAACATTAAATAGAAATGCATTTCTCTTCTATATTAATGTATCATTATTAGTTTTTTTCTTATTCAATGTACAATAATAATGATTATTATCATTTTTAGTTTTGTGAATTAGAAAAAAAAAAGGGTTTCTTCTCTTTTTCCTCTAAATTGTTGTTTATCATACTTTTTATGAAGTAATAAAATTGCTCATCTTTCTTCTTTTCCTTAATTAAAAGTTGGGATCTTTTTACTTAATTGCTTACTTACTTATTAGTTATTTTTCATTGTCTTTTCAATCCATATTAAACAAATGAATCAACATAGAAATCTTAATCTTTTCATTGATAATTAATTCAAACATTGTGCAATAAAATCTTAATTTGAATATCCAGAATAAATATTGCTCATTTATGTATTCAACTTAAAGTTTATTAACTTTTGAAATAATTAAAAAAATTAACTTTTAAACAGGGTTGATCAAAAGACATTGTTTATTTCAATCAATATTTCTTAATGTATATGAGATGACTACTAAATTATCTATTTAAGTAGTATATCTATATATATATTCTCTCATTGTGTACACATCATTGTTTAGTGGTTATTTTATTGTTCTCAAATTTTAGTATTATCACTACTGTTATCATGAATACTATGATTGATCATTATCATAGTGAATTGTGCTTGTTTTTTTTTACAGAATGAAGACTTGATTACATATACACGTTTCTTACTACTTTCCTTTTTTAGTACTGATACTTACTTACGCCCGTTACTCCTCGTGAAGGAGCATAGGCCGCTCACCAGCATTCTCGATCCAACTCCGTCCTGAGCAATCCTTCTTCCAGTTCCTATTTATCCTTTTCATATCTGCTTCTATTATCCGACGTAATGTGTTCTTTGGCCTTACGCTTTTCCGTTTCCCCTCAGGATTCCAAGTTAGGGCTTACCTCGTGATGATTTCCGTAATGTATATCCTATCCATTTCCATCGTCTTCTAATTTCCTCTTCATCTGAAAGCTGGTTCGTTCTCTCCCACAGAAGGCTATTGCTGATGGTATCCGGCCAATGGATGTTTAGTATCTTGCGTAGAGAGCTATTTATAAATACTTGTACCTTCGAAAGGCTCGTTTGGCTTTCCCAACTTCGTCACCTATGGCGTAGGTGAGATATCCGTCTACCAATAAAAGGACGAGTATACTGTTCGGCAGTCCGTTCTGTTTTAACTTACGGCAGCGAAACATGGCCATTAAGAGTAGACGATACTCGTAAGCTACTAGTATTTGATCACAGATGTACTAGAAATATTGCTCACATCTGCTGGGATCACCGCGTAAGTAATAGTGAGGTTAGACACTGGGTATTAGGGAATGATGGTAAATCAGTTGATGAGGTTGTTAATCTTCATCGACTGAGATGGTTGGGCCACGTGTTACGTATGCCTGAACACCGATTACCACGTCGTGCAATGCTAACGGGTGTTCGGGATGGTTGGAAGAGAATTAGTGGCGGCCAAACCAAAATGTGGTATCAGTGCTTGAAGTCATTAACTTCTGGTCTGAGCCATGTTGGTAGATGCAGACTACTTGATTGGGGTCCGCGTGACTATCGTAACCAATGGTCGGGACTCTGGATGACATGGCTCAGAATCGATCACAATGGCGTCGGTGTATACACTCTCTGTCTTCCCTTAAACTATGAGATTAAAATCGCTTCGTATCTGTCTTTCTATGAACTAATTCTTTCTTCCTGTACTATGTCCTTATATGCAATCTTTCTTTTATATATTACCATCTCTGAATTAACTACTTTTATGAATCCGGTGTTCATCTTGTTGTGTTAATGAGGTATGGCAACTTGGACCGATGCATATATGTGCCTGATCCTACGTTGTAGCTGACTGACATGATCTAGTATAGTGGTTTAATTATCTATTATCGTAAACTAGTGTGCTCATTCGTATCATCCAACATACTTTTCGTGTCTAAATCGTATTATGTTATGTCGATTAATTTCAGTTCTGTATCATTTGTCCATTACAGTTTAGATAGTTGCCATTATCATGATTGTCTGGTACTTAGTGTAGATCGAATTGTATCGATCAAGTTAAAATGCAGCCTCTAGTCTAAGTGACTTGAAGTCACGTCGATCGCGCCTTGATGTTGGGTGATGGGCTGTAATCAAAAGGAAATCCTTAACATAGGGTTCGCGTTAGTGAACTGTGACCAGATGTAACTTCTGTATACAAATGACTGATAACACCTGTAGGAACTTAACCTACGTCACTCAACCTTACGTTGGGGAATGATACCGTAAATCATGACATTAGACGAGAGGAATGTATAATTATTGTGACAAGTCACAAAGCATTTACATAATGCATATACATAACCTTCAATCACCATTTACATATTCTGTTATGTTCTGCAATCCAAACTGTTTTCTTAACTGACCTCCAAGTGTTATGCAAAGCCGTTCTTTCGATGCACTGAAGCTCTGCACTCTGTGCGACCATTGTTGCAAGTCTAACAACACTTTCCGTTACACACTACTTACAAACATCCTTGTGAGTAGCATCCGCTACATTACCACTGAGCTATTCTGTTCAAAAAATACGTATATACACTGATGAATGCTAACTGTCACGAAACCTAGGTCCAAGATTTTCCTGTGTGCAACCTGTACCAGCCTAAAGTACCAGTGCTATATTGACATACTTAATTACACCTGTTACCCTCGATGGAACATAGGCCACCGATCAGCAGTCTCCATCCCAATCTGTCCTGGACCTTCCTTTCTAGTTCTATCCAATTATTGTTCATTCTTCTCATATCTGTCTCCATTACTCGACGTAATGTGCTCTTTGGCTTCCTCTCCTCCTTTGGCCTTCTATTGACACATATATACAAGTATAACAAATATTTTCATGATGTCAGTTATCAATGTAGTTCCTTTTTTTAAATCAACAAAATAACTTGACAATACGAATCTGATCAATGACAATCATAGAATTTCTAGTTGTGTATTGAATACTATGTGTTTGTGCACTGATGAAGGTTTGAAGTTTTACTTACACTTAGTTCAATACTGATCTAAAGTAGTTATATCAATGAAATGGTTTGTTTATGTTATTCAGTACTTGAACAACCTCTGTTTCACTTAACCAATATCTTAAAATCTTTGGAAAGAAATTAAGAATGTATATTTTTGTACTCCGAACGGATAAACTGTACATACTTCAATTGTAGATGATGGATCATATCATCTAACTCGTTTGTAGTTTGTTAAATTCTTTAGGGAATATACTAATCAATGTAACAGTGTGGACAACCTTTACGTGAAGATTTAAATAATATTGTTATCCTATAGTTACTTGAACTGAATTCGTAGAATAATCTAAAATGACTTATTGTTATTTCGCATGTTTGTGAACCAGTTCAATCTCTTGTGAGTCAGTCATTCTCAACACAGGTTCTATGACAAATGTGCAACAATCGAAATCATCACACCTCCCAATCAGCAAAACAAAAGGGATACAGTAACATAAAAAATATATATAACAGGGCATCTTATCATAAGAAGTGGGAATATACAATTGAGAAATACACTTCAAAATGATTGAATGCGATCAAATAATAAAGAGTCAGGAATATGCAGCTATATGCAATCATCCGATCA